AGCGGCAGCAGCTGAACTAGCTGCAGATCTTCTCCTTGAAGTTTGCAGAACAAAAGTTTGTGGTTTCTAGGTGTCATTTTCTAGGTGATGGTTTGCTTCCTCGGCTCCACTCCCCGGGATCCCGTCTGTCTCTGTTCATGACCCGCCTCTCCGTGTGCAGCCCCACTTAAATCAATCCCCGCCACGTCCGTTAAGCGACTGATTCCACGTGGCAAACGTGGCAGAAGCCTCCTCATAGTCATTCCTCCAGAGTAGTGCCACCTGCGCTGAACCCGCCCTGGAGTTGGGGACTTGTTTAATTCAAGTTCACAGTTGAATTTCCGAGGGCAGCCCCGTGTTCTCGGTGTGCAGAATGGAAAAGCTTTTGGGAACGCGGTCGCTGTAGGCTTATAGAATCATAGAATCACAGAATGGTTGGGTTGGGTTGGAAGGGACCTCAGAGACCACCCAGTTCCAACCTCCCTGCCATGGGCAGGGACACATTCCACTAGATCAGGATGCTCAAAGCTTCATTCAACCTGGCCTTGAACACTTCTAGAGATCCACAACTTCTCTGGGCAACCTGTTCCTGTGCCAGTGTCTCACCACCCTCAGAGGGAAGAATTTCTTCCTTATATCCAATCTAAATCTCCCCTCTTTCAGTTTAAAGCCATTGCCCCGTGTCCTATCACTACACGCTCTTGTAAAAAGTCCCTCTCCAGCTTTCCTGTAGGCCCTTTAGGTACTTGAAGGCTGCAATAAGATCACCCCGGAGCCTTCTCTTCTCCAGGCTGAACAGCCCCAACTCTCTCAGCCTGTCTCCATAGCAGAGGTGCTCCAGCGCTCGGATCATCTTTGTGACCTCCTCTGGCCCCGCTCCAGCAGCTCCATGTCCTTGTGTTGGGGACTGTTTTTTTGCTTGTCGAGCCAAAGCTGTGCTCGCGGAGCGGCGTCCGAGCGCGCTGTTTCTGTCCGCAGGCCATCGCGCACTACGAGCAGGCTGCCGACTACTACAAGGGCGAGGAGTCCAACAGGCAAGTGCTCTTTGGGAAGGGCTGGAGACGGGGGTTTGTCCTGGGTGGCCCATGCGTGTGCCGGCCTCCTCCGAAACGTCCTCCGATGGGATGCCCCAGCCCTGCTGGCCTTTCTGTTCCAGGTTCTCATCCCGCACGCAGGCGGGTCTGGTTTGGGGTGCCCGTTTTGGGGGCAGAGAAAGCACGGAGGGGCTGAACAGTATCCGACACCGGCTCCGTGCTGAGCTGAAGGTCTTGGTGCCTTTCCGTCTGTTTTAATTTTGGCTCATTTGCAGGAAATTCCCTCATTTGCAGCTTTTGGGTCCCACCTTTATGTATGTTAAGTAGCACAGGTAGCGCTCGGAGGTCCCAGGGCATGGATTTGTTTTTCCCCGGGACACCATTCCTCACTTTCGCGCTGTTTGGTCGTAGCTCAGCCAACAAGTGTCTGCTGAAGGTGGCTGCCTACGCCGCGCAGCTGGAGCAGTACCAGAAGGCGATAGAAATCTACGAGCAGGTGAGGCTGCGTTTCCAATTTTTTCCTGGAAACGAAAAGTGGCTCCGGGTGTCGGGCTCCGGGTGTTGCTGGCCCCTTGTGCATCAGCCAGGACGTCCCGAGGTGCCAGCGTGGTGCCCCGGAGCTGCTGCAGCAGCTCCCAGCAGGATGGGCTGCGGGGGCTGCGCTCTTGCAGCTGCATCCAGGTTTCTGACCTTGCTTGGGATTAGTTAAAAATCCGCCTGGCTTCCCTGTAGCTTCTCATACGGACGCTGGCGTTTTTCCCGTGGTCTTTACTGGCATTGTGGTGCTGTGTGTAATTTTCCTCAGCTGTCCTGTTGTCAGTTCAGTTCCGAACGATGTGTTTTTCTTTCCCGACTCTAACAGTGCCTGTCTGTGCCTAGGTCGGAACAAACACGATGGATAATCCTTTGCTCAAGTACAGCGCGAAAGAGTATTTCTTCAAAGCCACTCTGTGCCACTTCATCGTGGATGAGCTGAACGCGAAGGTCAGTGGGCTCAGAGTGGTTATCCCAAACTTTTTGCATCCATCTTAGTCCTCCTTTTCCGGCTGAGACGCGTTGTTGGCGTGCAGGGATTCGCACGGCTGTTGCACGGACTGAAGCCTGAAGCGCCGTAGTGTCCAACTGGGTTTACTGTGAACGCTTCCCCAAGCTCTCGGTGCGGTTTTGGGACTGGAAGGCGAAAACTGAAACAAAAAGCAGGTGGTTTCGTGTGAAGCGAGCGTAAGGGTCGTCTTCTGTCTTTCAGCTGGCGCTGGAGAAGTACGAGGAAATGTTCCCAGCGTTCACAGACTCACGGGAGTGCAAGCTGTTGAAAGTGAGTAAAGCCAGTACTCAAGTCACGCGTGAAAACGCGTGCTGCCCTTCGCGTCGTGCTTTTCCCCGTGCTGTGTGCTTGGAAATTTGTTGGAATGTTGCAGGGGACGTCACGCTCGCTTCACGTTGGGTTTATACCGGACTTGTGGAAGCAGCTGCAGCAGAAAGATGATTATTGTAACTGACTTTAAAAGGGAAAAAAAAAAACCCCAACAAACCGTTTTTGTTTGGGAGCACGCAGTAACGAGAGGGTGTTCTGATTTTTAACGGTGTTTTCCTAGAAACTGCTGGAAGCCCACGAGGAGCAGAACAGCGAGGCGTACACCGAGGCGGTAAGTACTCAGGAATTGGCTACGCCGCTCTCGGGGATGGCGAGTTGTTCCTTTTTGACCTTATTTTTGGGGCGTGTGTGCTGTGAAGTGTTGGGGAACTGGTTGCCTGAGCTCCGAGCGCTGCGACCGAGTCCA